ATACAGATGTTTATATTTAAATTAATTTGTAGGTTATGGTTATTTATTATTTCAAAAGTTCCTGAAACTATAGATACATTATTTATTGTATTACGACGACAAGAACTTATTTTCCTACATTGGTTTCATCATGCATCAGTACTTGTGTATTGTTTTTACAGGTAAGTTTTTCTTGAAATCATAGAATTCTTCGTTCTATTATCTATTTAAGTTATGGTCTATTCGCACCATCTGGTCGTTGGTTTACGACAATAAATCTATGCATTCATGCAATTATGTATGGTTATTTTGCATTACGAGCTGCTCGTTTTCGAATTCCTCGGTTTATACAACAATCTATTACAGTATTTCAACTTATTCAAATGATTATTGGTTGTATAGTTAATATTTCTGCATATAAATATAAATATGATGGATACTATTGCATGACATCTTATAGTAACATTATCGTATCACTTCTACTTTATTTTGCTTATCTCATCCTTTTTGCATATTTTTTCTATACAACATATTTACAAAAACGAACGAAAAAACGTCGAGACTAATATATAGTTTGTTTCTTCGGAGTTTGATTATAGATTTTTTTATTTCATTTCAGATTATAATTTGTACGCTTGAAAATAATTCAAATCGGAAACAGCCGAATTTGTTGTCTATCTATATTAACGTAAGTATATTAAATGATCTTATTGCTTTCACAGACATTCATAGTTAAATCGAAATATGAACTTCAGACTTTGATTTATCATCACTGACAATTCGCACTTTATGACCTCAGCGCTGATCTCTCTAGAGAAATTTCTTTTACGTACGAAGTAAATAATCAGAATTAATAAAATATGCACTCTTCGAACGTTTGATAATAGTCATTACTGCTTATTTTATAATATAACCTGATCATATATTTACGATAGGTAAATAGAATGATTATGGTGTAAGGTGTGTGGAGAGACGAAATATAAATTGCTGAGCAACCGTAAAAATAAGTAACGAACGAAAAAAAAAGAAACTTCTTCGTTTCTTTACATCATCAGTAAAAGCAAAACAAGTAAAATGAAAATACATTCGTCTGTAACGGACACGAATGGCGTCGTTCATCGATGGGTTTTCAACTATGAATTGGTATTTTTCAATAAGCAAAATTTGTTTTCAATTGAAAAATTTATGTCCAATTGGTGGTGGTTAAGTATTCTATATGCTTTAATGTATATCATTGCCATATTTGTTGGTCAAAGATGGATGAGAAAACAAAATGAAAAATTTGAATTACGTGGAGCATTAGTTCTTTGGAATACTATTCTTACTATCTTCAGTTTTTGGGGTGCATGTCGAAGCGTACCTGAATTAATTTATACCTTAAATCATCATGGATTTGTATATTCAATATGTGATCCGAGTTTTAAACAAGGAATTACTGGACTTTGGTAAGTAGAAAATAATTTTAAGAAGATTTTGTCATAGATTATTTGTAGGGCTTGGTTATTCATGATATCGAAATTTCCTGAAACAATAGATACATTATTTATCGTATTAAGACGACAACAACTTATATTTCTTCATTGGTATCATCATGCATCAGTACTTGTCTATTGTTTTTATAGGTAGATTATTATTATTTTGTTTTTGTATTTATTCAAATTATTTTTGAAGTTATGCATATTTTGTCTCAACCGGTCGTTGGTTTGTATCAATGAATTATTGTGTTCATACACTTATGTATGGTTATTTTGCATTACGAGCAGCTCGTATTCGTCTTCCTCGATTTTTTCAACAATTTATTACACTTCTTCAACTTATTCAAATGATTATTGGTTGTATGATCAATATTGCAGCATATTATTACAAACAGCAAGGATATTCATGTGCTGTTTCATATACTAATATTGAAATATCATTAGCAATGTATGCTTCTTATCTTCTTCTCTTTGCTCATTTCTTCTATACGAGCTATCTTCGAAAAGATTCAGAGAAAAAAGTCAAAAATAAAATCAATTGAAAAATATTTTATTTTTTTTGAATGCAAAATTATACACTTGTGGTTGAATACTGATTAGTTCATTAATAAACAAGAGTTTCGAAAAGACAAAAAAAATGATTTTATTTATTTGTACTTAAAGTGTACTCTCAAACTGCTTTATATAGTAATAACATACAATAAAACAAAGATTGTTACTGACCTATTCGAAAAGTATGTAGTAGTACGTTACAATATATAGATATACAATCTTTACCTTTGTTTTGATTATATACGTAGAAACAAACAAATAAGATTAATATTTTATTATTAGGTGTACGTTTCGAGTTTACCTTTTCGATGAAAAATAAGTACTCTAATCATGCTATTTTTGCTATGCATTAAGACAAGATTTATACTGCTATTTATTTTTCTCAAATTACTTATCGTGTAGCATTACATCAGATGGTTTTCTTCGTTCTGTTCTTTTTTTTGCATAGTACTTCAGAGACAAGTTTAATTTTTCTTATTATTATTTCAATAATATTATGAATCGTGTATTAATCAAACTGAAATATTTTGCATTATATAATTCAATACCAGGTAAACCATCTCAACATCGAATTATTTTCGTAAAGAATTCAAATCATATTCATGTTTGTTATAAACGTGAAAGATATGTTATTGACAATTGCATTGTTGATGATGTATCAAAAAATAGTTACTATATCTAAATATGTCAAGTAATCTGAAAAATAATAACTCGGAAAAGAAATAAATCACGTCGAAAGGTTTTGTGGTGTGGGTGTCGGTAAGGATGCTAATGTGGAAGAAGAGTAGTCTATACCTATACATCCACCCTCACCCACCCATCCATATCCATACCTACACCCTTACCTGCACCGCATCCACACTCGGAACACTTGCTGCTACAACGCATCAGATTATCTCTAATATTTCTACTTTGTACTTGTTATATCTTCTATCATTAATAAACTTCAAGTAAAATTTTTCCGGATTTTATTTTTCCAGATTTTATTTTCCGGATTTTTAATTTCCGGACAACTTGACATCATCAAATTTTTTATTCTTTACTAAAGATTGCAAACTGTAACTTTTTTTTCATTCATGAGACATTTAGGATTTACTTTTTGGACTATAATTTGTCGAACAAGTACTCTTACGTAATAATATTTCTACTATTCTAGATGTTTGTGATTGAAAGAAAAAGAACTCAAATTAAAAAGCATTTTACTTCTGTCGTATGGCTTCATATTGAGGAATATAATATCAGTCTATTTTTGTTCCTTTTTTCTCGTTCGCTCGTTTTTGTCAGTCTGCCGCACAATTAAAAAAAAAACTTCGTACCCATTATATTTTGCAACGTGCGCGAGACAACTATAACCATGTTTTTTCTTCTTAGTATTATATCAATAATACTATTTATCGTATATATTAAACTCAAATATTTTACATTATATGGTTCGATACCAGGCAAACCGCCTCAATTTTTATTAGGTAATCTCTTACAAACAGGTTTCATTTATGGTAAATATCTTGGTGATATCGTTCGAGAATTTCAAATTAAATATGGTGATACATTTCAATTCTTCGCAGGACCTATTCATATGATTTTTGTATGTAATCCTGAAGATGTTCAACATATATTTACTCATCGACATATTTATGAACAAGGCAATTTAGAAGTAGATCATCATCGAATTCTTTTCAACGATGCTCTCATATGTAATATAGGTACGAAGATTCAAAACAAGAGTTTTAATTTAATAGTAATTTTTTAATTTCTATGATAGGAGCAAAATATAAACGTCATGCTAGTATAATTCTACCATTATTTCGTCGTGGAAAAATTGTAAACAATTTAGATATAATTGTTGATTGTACTGACAAATTACTCGATCAATGGCGTTTAAAAATTGATATGGATCCTAATCATATTCATCTTAATATCGTAGATCAATGTCAAAATTTATCATTAGCTATTTTTGGTTTTATTGGTTTTGATTATGATTTACAAACATTAGAAGAATATAGTACTAATAAGAAGAATAAACTTCGATTAGCATTAAGTGATTTTTTAAAAATATTCTTATTTACAATTCCTGTACCAACATTTCTAAGTAGAATTTATTTGAAAATTAGTCCTCGATATCGGCATGCAATGATTACTATTAGTACTTATTTAAATCAAATAATACTACAAGAACAACGTAAAACACCAGAAGAAATTGATGAACGAAAAAGAACTAGTTTAATTGCATCTCTAATTGGTTCTTTGCAACAAGATGAAAAACTTGAAGCAATAAAATCGGAACAAGAAAAGAAAGGTAAAATGTATTTTTTATAGAAAAATCTTTTAATTTATTTTGTTATTCTTTTCTTAAGGATTATCTCGAAGAGAAGTAATCGATGAATTATTACTTTTTCTTGTCGCTGGTTCTGAAACAACAGGAAGTGTACTTGCTTGGTTTATTTACTTTATGAGTAAAAATCCTCGTGTACAAGCTAAGATCAAAGCAGAACTTGCAGATAAAACTCAAAATGGTTTAACCATTGATCAAATAGATTCATTGATTTATTTGGATTATGTAATACAAGAAGTTTTACGATTTATTCCACCTGTTGTCGGTACAACTCGAACATTAACTGCAGATGATCGATTACCTACCAGTAGTATTCAATTATATAAGGGTGATGAAGTATTTATTCCATTGAATGTTCTTAGTCGAGATAAACGATACTGGAAAATTGACCCTGATCTATTCTATCCAGAACGTTTTCAAAGTGAAGATGCAAATCATCATGCATATGTATCAATTCCTTTCGGCGGTGGTCATCGACAATGTATTGGTCAAGATTTAGCTCGTTTTGAATTGAAAGTAATAATGACAAGATTAATGCAACGTGTAACATTTGGTGATGGAGGTGCTGATGTGAATGCAGGTGGTTATGTTCAAAAAATGACTGTTATACCTAAACATATTGGTATTACCATAAAATTTGATTGAAATTTATACTGTTGTTATAGATTATAAAAATTAAAAAGTGCTCAAACTTATATATATGTATAGATTTAGGATTAAAAAAAGTGTACTTAAAATAAAAATCAGTTCTGTTACTACATGGAATATACTAAAAATATTAATTATCAAAATAAAAAGCTTTTTAGACGCCTTCTTGAGCAAGTCTGTAATCAAATAAACTTCCACGTTCAATAAATGATCGAAATTCTGCTTCATCAGATTTATGTTCGTGATCATCATCTTCTTTTCCATAACCACCACCACCGGGTGTCAGTAAAATAAATATATCCTAATCAAAATAAACAACATACAGTTATGTTCTATTGCATTTTTTGCATTACTTACACCAGGTTTCATCGGTACAGAACATTTTCCACCTAAATTCACTAATCTTCCATCAACACGTTTTAATACATTCTTTCCACTTTGACCATTCCCACCTCCACATAATCCATATGGTTGATGTACACGTCGTTCAGTTAAAATTGATAAGGTTATAGGAGTACGAAATAATATTTGTCGATCTACACCATCACCACCACGAAATTTACCATGACCACCAGATTGTAAACGAAGAGAAAATTTTAATAGAACAACAGGAAATCTGCAATAAGATATATATATATATATTTATAGCACAATTTAATTTTTATTTACCGTTTTTCAAGAATTTCCGGGTCAGTTATTCGAGTATTCGTCATGTGAGTATGAACACCTGATCGTCCATGCCATTTTGGTCCCTGAAAAAATCATTATTATTTCTTTTCTTCTATCAATTCATTTCAAATAAAAATACATACAGCACCAGCTCCACCAGCTACTGTTTCATAATAACTCATGGCATTATTATCACCCCAAGTGATATTATTCATGCATCCCTAGTAGATACAAAAGAAACTTAATTTCCTCAATAGAAAATATTTACTTGTGATGCAGCACAAACACCAAATGCACGAAGAATAACATCAACTAAACGTTGACTAGTTAATACATTTCCACCAACAACTGCAGCATCTTTATGTGGATCCAGAATTGAACCTGGTGGAAGAATAACTTCAATTGGTCTCATACATCCCTGAAATTATTTTTTATATATGCATATAAACAAAAGTGAATCTACTTGATTTAATGGTATTTCATGAGGAATCATAGCTCGAAGACAATAAATAATAGCTGAATAACTAATTGAACGTGGTGCATTCCAATTATACCATACTTGTTCACTTGTACCCGTAAAATCAAATTTAGCTTTCCGCTATGTTTTTAAAATAAAAAATATTAATTTTATTTAAATTGAAAAAAAACAAGTTACTTCTTTTCCATTAATTTCAACACATAAACAAATCTTTGTTCCATCATCCATATAATCAACAGCTTGTAATTTAGCATGATCTTTATCTTTTTCATTATTCTCTTTTTCAGATAAAGATTGTACTACACTTTTAAGCAAATCTTTAACAGCTGTTTCAGCATTATCCTAAATATGATATCAAATATAAGAAAAAATTTATACACAGAAAAAACAAACTTGAATATAACCCATATAAGCTTGAACTACTTTAAGACTATAAATATCAATTAATTCTTGAACTAATTTAACACCCTAATAAAAAGAAATTAAGAATAGAAAATTGTTCTTATTGAATTACTTTAAGATTAGCAGCTATTTGTGCTTTTAAATCAGCAATATTATGTGTTAATGTTCGAGTTCCTGAACAATTTTCAAGTTTTCCTGGTTCATTTAATCGATCTGTCACTTCTGTAATAAAAAATAAAAAGTAAAAAATAAATTGAAATAATTATAATATATTCTTACCTTTCTCTTTAAATTTTCCTTGTTCAACAATTTTAAATGAAATAAATTGTGCACCTTCTTGAAGTAAAGATGTTGAATTCGGTGGCATTGAACCTGGAGTTAAACCACCAATATCTGCATGATGACCACGACTTGCAACAAAAAATACTGGTTTATCTTTATTCTCTTTATGAAATACCTTATAAAAGTTCATTCATTTAAAAAATCAAAATAAAATTTCTATAATAAAAATCTTACTGGTGTTATAACTGTAAAATCTGGTAGATGAGTTCCTAAAAATAAATAATATGAAATAATTCAGTTTTATTTTTATATTTCTTATTACCTCCTGCTGCAGGATGATTTGATAGAATTACATCACCATCACGCAATTCATGACCAATAGAACGCATCTAAAATTCAAAGAATTGTATATTTTTCAAACAAAATTATTAACTAAAGAATTTACTTGATATTGTACAGCTTCTTGCATAGCTCCTAAATGTACTGGTATATGTGGAGCATTGGCAACTAAACCACCATCAGGACCAAATACAGCACAACTAAAATCTAAACGTTCTTTAATATTCGTTGATATAGCAGTCAATTGAAGAACACTAAATATTCGAAAATAAACTAATTTTGTTTTTTTTGATTCACTAGAAATCTTACCGTCCACATTGTTCTGCAATACTCATAAAACGATTTTGAAAAATCGATAATTTAATAAGATCAAGTTCAGTTGAATCTGTATCATCTTTAATATGTTCAATTGAAATATGAATATCACCACAATCTGTAACTGTAGCTTCACAATTTGGTTCAATAAGAATTGTACTAATTATTAATAAATGAATAAATAATTTTTTAAAAACTAAATCTTACCAACTAGGATCAATAATAATTGCTGGACCAGATATTTTATCATTAGCAAAAAGTTCATGAATAAGATAAACAGATGTTTCAACAAAACCTTTTTCAAAATAACATTTAGTTTTCTATTGAGAAACAAATTTTCTTAAATAAAATATGTGAAGCAATCTTTTCTTTACTTTTGATTCTTTTAAAGGTTTATCATTGGGTCGATTCTCAATTTTTCGATCAATATTCATTGCTGATTTTGCTAATGCACGTATTCGTATATCATCTGTAATTATTGGACGATCCGGTAATGTAAAACCAAATTGATCTTGATATTTTTTAAGAAATAGATTTGTAAATGATTCAGGTGTATCTTCATTGCTTGTACACATAAGTGCACAATCAGTTCCTTCATATCGAAGATTTAAATATTTTTCTACAATAATTGATTTCCTAAAAAAAACTTGATAGATCAATTAATTAAGAATTGTCTAACAAACTGATCATGTCCTTGTTTAGTAAGCTCTTCGACTCCACATTTTGAAAGATGTTTTAATCGATCAAGAACAGTTGACCAGTTATCTGGATTAATTGCTTTACCGGATGGTTCTTGCATTTCATGAACAACATCTGCTAAAGCTAAACCTAATGCTGATAGTACACCAGCAAAACTTAATAAAGAAAAAAATGTAAAATACAGAAAATGTCGAATAGATCATAGACTAACCGACTAACAAATACAGTTTTCATGCCTAAAGTACGGGCAATCTAATATAAAATATGATTAAATAAATACATATATAGTAATAACAACATACTGCACAAGCATGTTGACCACCAGCACCTCCAAAACACGCCAGAACATGATCACGAAGATCAAAACCTTTACCCTAAGAAAAAGTTTTTCATTTATTAATTAAATTTTCACACGTGTAATTACTTCAGTTAATGCTCGAATAGGACGACTCATACTTTCATTTGCAACATTAATAAAACCTAAAGCGATTTCTTCAACACTTAATGATTTTTTTTCATTTTCTTTCAAAAATGAATTGATCTATTTAAATAAAAGATAAATTAAAAACTTCTAAATTATATAAATAAAAACTCAACTGTTTCAGTCAATTCTTTAAATTTATTTGATGTGACTTCCGAATCTAATTGTTCATCTCCTTTCGGTCCAAATAATGCTGGAAAATCTTCGGCTATTAAACGACCTAAGATTAAATTAGCATCCGTTACAGTTAATGGTCCACCTAGAAAATAACAATTTTTAATTACAATATTATTATATTTTAGAAAAAAACCTTTTCTATAACATGCTGGGCCAGGTTGAGCACCAGCTGATTCTGGACCAACTCGAAAAAGACCTGAACGAAATGTTAATATACTTCCACCACCAGCAGCTACTGTATTAATATCTAATTGTGGTGCTTGTATAGTAACAGATGCAATTGTACTTTCAAGAACATGTTCAAGTGAACCATCAAATCGACTAACATCAGTTGATGTTCCGCCCATATCAAAACCAATAACTGGTTGAGAATCTATATAACTTGTTGTAGAATATCCAACAACACCACCTATGAATCAAATTAATTAATATGAAATATACAAAAAAAAACAATAAATCTACCTGCAGGTCCAGAAAGAATTGCTCGTGATCCAGAAAATCTAAGATAATTTATTTTCTTTATTAGAAAAAAAAATAACAAAAAATATTTATACTTTTCAACCGGTGTTAAACCACCATCTGATTGCATAAATAAAACATTAAGTTCATCAAGTTTATTTTTTTCAAAAGCACTTGAAAATGTATCAATATATCGTTTTAAACATGGAGTTAAATAAGCATCAGTACAAGCTAGAAAAGAAAAATAATTAAATCATTTCGCATTCTTTCTAATTAACCTGTATGAGCACGTGGAACATATTTTTGCATAGCAATTATTTGATGTGATAAAGATACATTTGTAAAACCCATATCACGCGCAATTTCACCAACACGTAATTCATGATCAGGAAAACTGATTCAGCAAAACGTAGATATTAATTTTACGTAAAAAATAAAATAAAAACTTACCAATATGAATGAAGAAGTGCAACAGCTACTGATAAAATACCTTTTTCTTTAATTGCATTTAAATCTTTACGTAATTGTTCTTCATCAACTTCTTTCCAGACTTCAATCTATAAAATAAATATTAATAGATAATGAAATTATTTAACTTTTCAAGTTACTTTATCTCCTGTTGTTGTTTTCTTCTGTTCATTTTTACCTCGAATTTCATTATCTAATTTACAATCATCACGACATAATACTACTCTTTCTTGTACTTCAACAACTTCTTCATAAAGAACATCAGGTATACGAACTGACTATATCATAGAAAAAGAAAAAGGAATTTTATACAAGAAAAACTTTCATTCATTAATATTTTACTAAATCAAATAGTTTCGGTCGTGATTGATTTCCAATATAAAGTAAATCACGAAAACCATTTGTAACTAATAAAGCAACACGTTCACCTTTTCGTTCAAGTAATGCATTTGTTGCTACAGTTGTACCCATACGAATCCAATCAACATCAGCTGGATTAAGTGGAAAAGATTCCTAGAATTAAATTTTATATTTTGTTTTGTCTGGTATTAGAAAAGCTAATATACTTGTTTTAATAACCGACGTATTGCTTCTGTTGGAGCATCTTTATATTTCTCTGGATCTTCAGATAATAATTTCATTGTAACAATTTTATCATCAGATGTACGTGCTACTACATCAGTAAATGTACCACCACGATCAATAGCTACTTGTAAACGTCCCATTAGTTTTTATTTATATCTAAAATCAAATGTTTAAATATATTTTAGGTGCATGTATAATTTATCTTCATCGATTCATGATGCGTAACGAAGAGAGAAAAAAAGAATATCTATATATAGTTGTCATTTTCGTTACTTCAAACCATATGGTAGATAAAGTGAGAATTAATCATAAGCTTTTCTTCTGATTACACAGAGTTTCAACATTCGTTCTTTTACGACAAAGCAAATATATGTATAATAATTGTGCTTCAAATTTTACATATTTACAGATCTATTATATATGTCGTATCGAAACTCTTTTCGGAAAGACGAAACTATAATACTTGTTGATTGCATTCTTCACATATGTATTTTTCAGTGATAATATTTCCTATTCGTATTCATAATCATCTCAATAGTTTGTTGACAACGTTTCAATATGAATCGTTCTTGAATTTCATGAGTTCTGCTTGTTCCACTGACTATTATCATTTGTACTTGTTGTCAAAGAAGATGATGCTGAATAGTAAGTAAATAGAAAATATGTTTTATCCAAGAAAAATCACAGACTATATATACGATAAGAAGACACGTAGAGAAATTAAGGAAGAATTCAAACATATGTGACATATTAAAGAAGAAGAAGCCAATCAAGCATAGTGAAAGAGAGGTATCTATGTGAAGAGTATAATCAGTAGATATTATAATTACATTTTTGTCAAAAGATCTTCGATATCCTCTGTTATCGAAGCTCAGATTAACTTCAATACGATATATACATCCATTTGTTGTTCATAGATCGTTAACCAAATTTAAAACTATTGTAAAAGAATCATTTCGTTATCATTTTCTTTTATTTTTTAAAATCATATTACAGAACGACATATAAGAAATGTATAATAAACATAAAACATAGTTAATCTTGTTTGCCAGTTGATCGTTTTGTTGGACCAATTGATTTTTTCTTTTCTGGAATATCTTCACGAAATGCCACAATTAGAAAAGAAATTAATACAATATGAACAACAATTACAGCAACAATAGCTGAATATGTATAACTACTACTACTAGATATATGAAATATACCTTGGAATATATAATCTTTTGCAATAAAAAATGATCCTAATGGTGCAATTGTCATTAGTAATGTAAAAAAAAGCATTTTACGGAAGACTATCCATATACTTGATCCATCATAATTATCTTCATATTGAATATGTGGTTCGACTGTTGATGTCGATTGAATTGCTGATGTTCGTTGCATCTAAAATAATTTATAAAGAAATTTTCTAGTACGAATATTAATAAATGGTAAGTACCATTAACTACGAAATATTTATATCGAATTTTTTGGTTAATGAGTTCATCAGAAGAGATAGCATATGACTCATCATTCCTGTTATTAACCAATCAATAAGTTAAAATATAGATGGCAGTTATCGAGATAAGAAATTAGATATAAAACTTCGATTAATATCATAATTAAGTAAAATAATTTATAATTACAAGATTTTCAACATTGATACTTGTTCTGAATAGATGAATGTAGCAAAAGACTATAAATAGTATTATATGACGGAAAATATCGTAATTGATATTATCATTTCGTTAAAGTCTTTATTTTTCGTACGGAACTGGTAACAAACATTTGTTTATATATAAGAAAGACCGATTTCTAATCAAAATCAACTTTTGTGAAAAGAAAGCTTTCAATTTCCTTTATATATTTATGTATGTAATTAGTTTATTTGTAACAAAAGTTTAATGTAAGATCAATAATATGTTTAAATCTAAAAAAAAAGAATTGTTTATTTAACTTGAGAATCATTATATTATATAAATTCATAGAACATTCGCGGTAAAAAAAAGGTTCCTAAATGTTGCACTGAATAAATCGAGTCGCATTTTTTTATTAATATCTATAGATCATTCTTTACGAAAAAGAACATAATCCGATTGAGAAAAGAAGAAAAAAAAAGAAAAAGCTTTGTTTCTCGTTTAGCTTTATAAAAAAATAAATCAGTAGTACGACGAGACGAGACAATCGTCCTATTCATCGATCGAAAAAAATACACATATATAGACAAAAGACAAGAAAAAAGTATATCAGACACATATGAAGGGATAAATTACAGTTAGTACACAAAATCTTTTATTTAAAATTTTCGATAAGCGGATCCAATATGCAATTTAAATCATATGAATTTCAAATTCCTGAGCCAGATGATGATGTTGTTGATACAACAGAAGCTTGTGTTTGTAATACATTTGCTATTGTTCCTGATATTTCATTATCTGGAGATTCAGTTGGAATAAAACCTGTTATTTGAGTTTGACCAATACCTAAAATAGGTGATGCACTCGTTGAAATTGAATCAGCTAAACATAATTGATTAGATTTTGGTTGAAGAAAATTAAAACAAAGTATGGTATCATCATGTGAACTTGATACAATTTGAAATTCATCAAATTGTAGTCGAAATACACGACCAGTATGTTCTGTTAAAGTTTTCATACAAAGTGATGATGGTTGTGAACGTGGATCCAATGCTGCTTGAAGATCCCATATTTTTATTTTACCTATTAAAAATTTAATTCTTTACAAAAAAGAGAAAACTCTAATAAATAATACGTTACCATCATAAGCACCTGAAACAATACGTTTCGAATCGAAACGAATACATCGTACAAGTTCATCATGTCCTTCGAGTACACGAAGACAAGCACCACATTCAATATCCCAAACCTAGAATATATATAAATATATATCAACTAGACAATATTAAGCTTTGTCATGATTAAAATTATATAATTGATCATTTAAATGGTTGCAATCACGCAAGAATAATTTATCGTGACTATTCGATCATTGAAAAAACCTAGATAAATATAACCTCGAACTATAATTGAAAACAACATTTTTTTTAATATTATACTATTTGCTCATCGAAATGTTTTCATGGTCGTTATAATAGCGTTTTTTCTTTTTCTAATATTAATAACGATTGACATCACTTCTTCGATTTTTTTCTTTTATAGAAATGAAGGTATTTTTGTTTTACCTATACTGATTCAAAGACGAAGAAAAACTAATCAGACCTCGAAGGCATACAAATAAACAACGACAATGCAATTCTATTACTAGACATAATCTGTATTTAAAAGAAAAATGATATGTTAATCTTTGTAATATAAGAAGTGTTTGTCTATCAGAAAGTACAAACTCATTCCTGTCATTCTATATCATCTTATTAAAAAACACACTGAAGAATTAATCATAAATAATAAATCAACCTACACGTATAGTATTATCCGATGAGCCACTAACGACAATTTTATCTCGATATTGTAAACAAGCAATGCCTCGTTTATGTCCTAGAAGTGTTCGAACAAATTCGCATGTTGTTGTATTCTAGAGAGAGAAAAAAACAATAGAAAATCAAAAGTTATTTAAACTAATATTTTTACCCAAACTTTAATTGTACGATCACCACTAGCACTAACAATATATTTTCCATCGAAATCAACAACATTTACAGCTGCACGATGACCAACAAGTACACGACGTATAGTTATATCAGTTGGCGAATTCATTTGCCAGACAGCAATAGAACGATCTTTTGAACATGTTACCATTGTACCATCAATAAATCGAAGATGTAAAACAGCTTCACAATGATGTAAAAGTGTATTAAGTAATTCTCCAGTTTTAACATTCCATACTCGAATTGTAGAATCTGATGAACCCGTTATAATAACTCTATCATCATATTGTAAACATAAAACACTTCCATTATGACCTGTTAAAACTTTAACACATTCAAGTGTTTTTCTATCCCAAATCTTAATTGTATTATCACGAAGACCACTAATTATTTTTTCATCATCATATTGTAAACAATAAACACCTTTACTGTTTTGTGAACGACAGGGTATTTTTTCTAATTGAAAATTTCCTGTACGCCAATTGACTTCAAGTTGATCGATATCACGTAATATACGAGGATATAAATAACGATAAAATTCATCACGTTTTTGTTCATCTTTATTGATTGATATTTGTCGAAAAAGATATTTATTCCAAGCACGACGTTCAGATAAACCTCGCCATAGTAAATCTGATAAAACTTTACGTTCTATTAATTTTTTCCATAGCATACCTAAAATGAATAAAAGATAATAGTTAATCAGAATCGTTTTATTAACTAACCTTGAGATATAACATGATACCATTCTCGACAAACAAGTTCTGTTGATTTTAATGATTGATCATCTAAATATCCAAGAATTTTCTCTGCTAAATGTTCAAGACCACATGAGGATAAACGTCCAATAAAATCTCTTTGTAACATTGGTAATAAAAATGAATTAACTTGTCCATGTTGATGACTTTGCATATTTTTTAATAAATTTTCAACAAAATATAACTGTTCATTATCATTCCAAGTTGAAAATATCGTTAAATATTCTTCACTAAATTGTTTATAATTAATTGTCACTGATTTTGTAGGTGTACTAATATTCATAGATGGAATTTCATCGATATATGAAGGATTACCGGCCGAAGAAAAATCCATAGTCAAGGATAATAAAAAGAATAATAAGAGAAAAAAAAAATTTCAAATGAACAGTAACAATTATCTAAAAATAGCAAGGTTGATGTAATAGTTGGTTACAGTTATGCAATCAGACAAGACGACGAAAGGTGTAAAAATCAATAAAATATGTCTTGATTGCTGTCGCTCAATTTATATGTATTTACTACCTATATTTGCTTGAAGGACTGGAATAGTAGAAAAGAAAAAGCTCAATTTAATGTATGTATTCGTTTTCAGTCTTTCTTTTCTCTTATGTTGCGCGACAAGTATTGACATGTTAGTCATGCTTTCTTTCTCTCTCGCTTTCTCTCTCTCACATACACATATACAAAAACAGCAATAGGTGTCTAAATGAAACGAATGACATAAAAAGTACGTAATAAAGAATTGAATGTATCAATTCTATTCTTCAGACATCCATCATATTATCAATCAATAAAAAAAATAATAAAAAGAAAAATATTTTGCCTTTTTTTTTTTTTGTATAAAATCAAATAATCTTATGCTAGTACTTATATATCTGACGAAAAAAGAACGATATAACGATTAAATAAAGAAATATCGATATATAAATTGAATAAGAACAAAACAGACACTGTTTTAACACAAAAAACCATTGTTATATAACAATAGTAAATCAGACAAAAATAACAATATAAATATACAAAAAGAAAAAAACACAACAAAAGAAGACATAATAGCTGGTTTATAGTGGAATATAATAATATTTTTTATCTTTGTTCGTCAAGAATAATTAACCTCTCTCCATACAAAATCAAAAAAAAAAATTAAATTTACAAACAAAAAAAAAACGTATATACAAACAAACAGAAATACACATATCGATATATACAAGCAAATGTCGGAAAAACACCGGTGAATAAAGTTCTTAAAAAAAAAGGAAAACTATCTTCTATTAATTAAATAAAAGTGTTTTTTCAAGTGATGTCGTTGGCGTTTGACTAGTTTCGGTATTAATTACATGATCATCTTTACCAAAAAACGGTATGGACTGTGTATTATTAAATCGTTGTTGATTTGATAAATCAGCCATCTGTTGTAAATGATGACAATATCCTTCGTTCATAGTTGATTGAACTATATCAGGTTGTGGTAAATGTCCTGGGGATATTTCATCATTATTTACTGTTAAAATATCTTCTTCTTCTTCTTCTTCATCATCATTATCACTTGATGAATCTGATCGATAAGATGTCGAAGCAAATGTACTTAATGGTGCACTTGCTTGACGTTGATATATTCGAGAAGGAAAACGACGTCGATGACGATTATGTGATGATGATACACGACTTTCCGTACATTCACAACTAGAAATAAAATTATTATTATTGAAATTTATAACAAAAGATAATCGAATTTATCATACTCATTAACATGATAACAATATTTGTCATCATTATCACCAAAAAGTGACCAGATAAAATTTATTGCAGTATTCGATGATTGTTCAGTTGAAGGCGATGAACGAAATAATCCGAACATTCTAAATATGAGAAGAATGGATAAGTCTATAAATTATTTTTTCTATTTCATACCTTTTTGTTATTGCATATGTAAGATCAATTGGTAATGTTACTGGTAAAGCCATAAATGACCAAATTCTATAAAGATTTGATTCTGTAAAATATCGTCCAATTGGATCTTCTATTTTTTGTCTTGCATGAGCAAATACTATGAAAATTAAAAGTTTTTTTCATAGATTTAATAGTAATTTTTATATTTACCTGCAAAAAGTGGTGTTGGTAATTCTTTTTTTCTTGTTACTTTTTCACAAAATGGACTAAATGTTATTTCACACTTTTCTTTTTGTATATCTTTATCGGATAAATATTCATCACCATCATCCATTGAATCTTCTTCTTCAACATCATCTAATTCTTCATACATTCTACCAACATCTTCAACAATTCCACCATTTCGTAATTGTCTTTCTTCATCATTAGCAGGTTCACTATAATCACTTCCAAGTACAGATGATATCGTTGCTTTTGTACTTAAATGTGTAGATTTAATCATATCTAAATAAATAAATAAATGTTTTATAAATTAAACGAAAAATCAATTTGTATACTTCGTGTTTGTAAGAATTTTAAACCATCAATATAACCACGCCAACAAATTTGTTTTAAAACGGATAAATTCGGTGGGAATAAAGCACGAGTCATACGATATAAATTTTCTTGTGTACACGAAATATCTGTACCTCGAAAATCAACACTATAAAACGATCCTGATTCATCTCGTGGACAAATATCACTTTCACCAGCAAATGGTGATACTAAAATAGTTCCTTCATCAATTATTGGATTATTATTTGTTAAACCACCATCCCAATAATACTATAAATAAATATAATAATTTAAAAAAAAAATAAAAATTTTATTTTTTACTTCTCCACGAAATTTATGTGGAATAATTCCAGACCAATAAGGTACAAAACTTGAACAAATAAGTACTTGAATAAGTTCTTCACGACTATGAAATTGACTAATAACAACATTTTTATTATCTTTCCAACGTGTTAATGATATATATAAACGTCCTGTACATATTTCATGTGCATTTGGTGGAAGAATTCGTCGTAAACCATTACGTATAATATCAACAATACTAAATGTTGGATGTAATGGTCCTAATGCCCGACTTCGTGCTCGTATAGCTATTTCAAGTGCATCACTACACATTTGTCCTAAACAACAACCACTCATTGCACATGCAGCAACAAGTGCACCAGCTGAACAACCAGCCATTTTATTATCAAGAACTTCCGGTGCATGTTCTTTAAATGCACATATAACACCGATATGATATAAGCCTAAAAAACCACATCCTGATAATGATAAATTAATTGGAAATGAATTTGATTTATGAATCATTCAAATTAAAGTAGTTTTCTCTAATATAAAATAAAAAATCTAAAAATGTAAATAAATAAACATATATATATATATATCTTATTTGATCGTATTCAAAGTGCAAATCTTATCTTTTAAATTTACTATTTGTAAATCTCTATTATCTGACCTTTAAACATAGAATAAATGTCTATATATGTATATGTATACAGATATGTCGTCTAAAACGTATTTTAAAATAGATAAATGATAGTGACATGGAAATATACGCGTAAAATCATGTTAATGACTCACATTAAATGATAACAAGTACGTAGCGTTTAGCCTTGAATAAAACAAGGCCAACGAATCTGGTATAAATATAAACTCTTCTTTTTTTTTCTCTCTCTGGCCACGATTGATGTGAATACATGCATTGAGTCATGTGTCACACCTCTCGAGGGTTTGGCTGCTTATTTCGATGTGTAAAGAAACAGAAAGTATATGTACGAACCAATGAAATGATAACAATCAACCTCTTTCTTCTCAAGAGATGTCATCGTATTAGATTTAATAATAGAAAGAAAAACAAGAGAGAGAGGGGAAGTACTAACGATAGCGGATCTTCTAAAACGAATGATGATTACAGACAGACAAGAATCATCGTATGAAATAGTTTATGAAAAAAAAGTCATACTACATAGTATGAATTATACTTAATTTGTATAATGATGATTTATTTTTTCTATAAATGACTGACATAAAAAACAAAAAGTATATTACAAATGAGCGTGTCTTTTTGATCTAAATATTCGAACAGTTGGAAACGAAAATAATTGCAATTAATAGATTTATAGCAACTCATTTAGTGTCCCTTTGATGAATGAGAGAAACACGAGTATCCCACTTCAATAATATTTTTTTTCTATGTGCAATGATGTGTACACAGTGTATGTCTTTTATCATGTTAAATAGCTTTTCGAGAGGAAGTAATTTATCGTAAGAGGTGAGATATGTAAGGTTAAAGAGTGCATATATATATATATTTTATACAACTTAATGATATAATCTTGAATGCTCAATTTTATTATGTTATTAAAAAGAATATAAATTCTATAGAAGCTAATGTTTTCTTCTTTCTTTTTTTATTGATTAAACTATAATAAAACATATTTTTTGGGTGTGACGATGACATGATGTGATTAATGATTGTTTGTATTGTAGTGTATGAACATATAATTAAATCGTAACGGTGTTATTTAATAGAATAGCTGAGGGTGTCAAAAGATATGCATAAAATAGGCATAATAATTACTTTTTAATGAATTTCTACCAATCGTTTGAAAATAGAAGTAAAGTTCAATATGGATGAATTGTCTATTGATTAATTAAATTTTTTTTGTTCGTGTGCCACATCATTCAATATCAAAGTAGTCATCGTAAGTGTATCGCTTGACACATCACTTGAATCAAGTGAGAGACATGTCACTTTTTTTTTCTTTAAAAAAAAAGCAACTCTCTTTCACACGCTTGTGTGAGAATTCAATTATGATTTTGAAAGACAGTAGAACATAAAAGACATGATTAATCGGATTCTTTTTCTCTTCCAATATAATGACACTAATTTCCTTATATTCAAATAAAATCAAGATTTGATCATTTTATCATGTATAACATATGAAAGAAAAGAGCAGATGGTTTCATTTTTACAAATTATATCTAAACAAAGCAAAATAGAAACATCTGCATTTGTTTCTCATTGTTATTTTATTCTAATAGATTTTCTTATATACACTATTTGACTGTTCAAAAAAAACGTTATTAATCATAGAAAATTTTCTATTTGTAAAGATCAATATGTGGATTAGTAACGAGAGTTAACTAGAATGAAAGTCTCGCAAATGATTTTTTCCTTCTGTTCAAAAGGACATCATTTTTCAAGATTCGAACTAAAGTCTATCATTAAACAATAATTTTTACTGATAAGTTTATTGTTGTTCTCGAGATTAACGATCAACATATGTATGAAAAAAAAGAAAACAGATGAATATAAGAACAGAAAGAAATTGTTTTCCTATTTTAAAATGTTTGTTAATTTATAAATACAATCCTTCAGGTGTGCCTTGATTTTTTCGATAAAGTACTGTTTCTTTACTCTTTCGAAAATCTTCATTTGTTACTTTCATTCGACGTTCACGTAATGCCATCAAACCAGATTCAGTACAAATTGCCTAAAAAGAAAACATCCAATATCATATATATATCTATTAGAATTATTTAACAAACTTTTATATCAGCACCACTAAGATCATCTTTAGCCATAATTAATTCTTCTAAATTAACATCATCGGCAAGTGTCATACGACCTGTATGTATTTTAAATATCATTCGACGAGTCTTTTCATCGGGTAATGGAAATTCAATTTTTCTGTCAATACGACCAGGTCGAATCAATGCTGGATCAAGACTGTCAATTCGATTTGTTGCCATAATTACTTTAACATCACCACGAGAATCAAAACCATCAAGTTGATTAAGTAATTCTAACATAGTACGTTGAATTTCTCTTTCACCACCGGAATTGGAATCATAACTAAATAATAAAGATAAAGATAATTGTTTTTGTTAGATAAAAATATTAAATTTTTACCGTTTTGTACCAATAGCATCGATTTCATCAATAAAGACAATGGCTGGTGCATATTCTTCAGCAACACGAAAGAGTTCACGAACAAGTTTTGGTCCATCACCCTATAATCTCTCGAGTTAGATAGAATTTAAAATTTATAAAAAATAGAATTACCAAATATTTTTGAATTAATTCAGAGCCAACAACACGTAAAAATGTTGCTGAAGTTTGATTAGCTACTGCTTTGGCTAATAATGTTTTACCTGTTCCAGGTTGACCATAAAGAATAACACCTTTTGGTGGTTTTATACCCATTTCTTCGTAATATTCAGGATGTGTTAATGGTAATTCAACAGCTTCCTTAAATATTTAAATCTTGTATACTCAAAAAAAAAATTGATGTTCATTCTTACTTTAATCTCTTGAATCTGCGTTGTTAATCCACCAATATCCGCGTATGTTTCTTTAGGTGCTTTTTCCAGTTTCATAACAGCAACCATTGGATCAACATCATCACCTAACACACCAATTACTGCATGTACCTGAAAAATGAAAAAATAATTTTTTGTTTCAAAAGAAAAAATCAATAAAGATTAATGTTTTACTTTATGATTTAGTAAGACTGTACATCCTGGTTCAAGTTGATCTTTATCAACAAATGACATAATGGTAACATAATGTTCAGAACCAACTGATGTTGAAACAATAGCATGATTGTCATCTATAATTTCTTCTAAAGTACCAACAGCCATCGGTGATCCTCTACAAAGTAGAAATGTGATATGATCAAAGAAATACTAAAAAATTCATTCATACCGAATATCATCGACTTTTGATCGTTCTTCCTAGATAAAAATAAAAACAGTATATTTTTTTTCAGAAAATAAATATCAAATTATACTTCATGACGATCTTCTTGTGGTTTTAAACGTTCTTGATTTTTAATAAATTCTTCTTCTAATAATAAATAATCTTTAATACGTTCAAAACGTAATTGTTTCAAACGGCAACGTGTATATGGTAGAACTTGTGGTAATTTATTAGCTGCTTCAGGACCTTTTGTACGTTTCTTTCGTTTACCAATACGTGTTGGAATTGGTGGTTCATATTTCTTTTTCTATAACAAAAGATATAAACTATTGAATTTAAATATTTTCCTATACTTCTTTATCTCCACTTCCATCGCCACGTTTTTGTCCACCAGAACCTTGATTACCCTAAAAGAAGATATACATTTCAAACCTGTTTTTCTCTTAAATTTCCTTCTCACCATATTAAAATCTAGAAGAAGAAAAAAACACGAGATAAACTTATTGAAAATGAAAAATAGACTAAATTCAAATAATTTTTCTCTTTTTAATAAAAAATAATTAAACATTCAGTGCGTCATGATAATAGAAGAAAGACACAAAAAAAGGATCATGCAAGGTTATACGAACAGAAAAGAAATGTTTTTTTTTTTGTATGCGAATCTAAAATGTCTGTCGAAAATTCTTTTTCTTAATCAATATGAGTAACAATATGTTCACTATCATTTGTTGATTCCTGTGGAAGTGTATGTGAATTCGATCTTGATACTCGTCGATGTTCTAAATCATGTTCAACAGCTTCTTCCCATGATTCATGTTTAACACCATCAGCTAAACGAAGAAGTTTTATATGTACCGCCATCGTTTTTTCATTCTTTGGTGGCATTAACATTTTTTTAAATGTTACTATATCACCTTTTGTAGGAACATAATCATCATCAATACTAAATAAAAGAAATCTATTTGAAATAGAAAAGAAACAAGAAGAAATCGTTACTCAGAAACATGAACAAAAATCAATTCACTTTGGTTATCTTTTGGTTGTACATAACCATAACCTTTTTCTCGACAAAATTCATGAATTTTTCCTTGATACGATGGGCTTTGCAATACACGTTCACATCTAAATTACAAATGACAATAATTCAACTCTTGGAGCACGCTACTTGTCTTCAAAAGGTATAAAAAAAATATTTAATAACTTACTGTGAAAGTGTTCGTTCTCGTTTAGGAAAAAAGTTTGGAACAGTTGCATGATCGCCATCATGATGCAATTGTGATCCTGATGATTGAGACATAATATCAGATAAGAAATCTATCTAGAATTTGTATACATATATATATAACAGTTATGAACTATTTAACAAAGAAGTAAAACGAAATTGTTTTGGAAATGGATCTTTTCTACTAACAACTAATGTTCGAAATTTATATGATATATATCCTCTAATCATTCCTTTTTGTATCATATTATTTAATATATCAATAAGTTCATTAATTGTAAAGAAATTTTCTTGTTCAAAACCAAAATTTAATAATACTAATAATGTTGGTTCTAATGGAATTCTAGTTGTTTGTTGTTGATCAATTTGATAAACATATGTACGAAATAAATTTCTTATTGTTATTAATTTTAAATTTTCAATTAAAAAAAATAATCCCGTATCAAATAGAAATTGTTCATATTCATGAATTTTTTCAGTGAATAATTTTAATGAACCTAAACGTATTGGCTCAATTAAATCAATCAATTGATTTAATTGATATTTTTCAAGTATATCCATTTTTGGTGTTGAACCATGAAGTAATTTAAGTACAACTAAATATAATAATGATTGTTGTTTATTTTTAATACTTTGACTTTTGTTTGAATCAAGACAATTAGTAAATACATAATCAAAATGACCAATAGCTGAATTATAATCATGCTTGAGTAAAAGATGTTTACCAAGAAAATAACGATATGTAAGAACGTAAGAAGAAAATCGATGTTCTTGTTGATCATTTTCTTCTTGCATGTATTGTTTTAATGGACGTTCAGCTAGAAAAAGAAATGAATATATGTAAATATTAAAACAAACTTACGAAAGAACCACTCAAGACGTCTAACAGCTTTTGAACTCAAGTTTTATTCAAAAATAGAGAGCATATAGAATAGAAAAAGTCTGAGAGGATATGGGCGCAAATCGTGATATCAATTTTTTCCTGTAAAATCAAGGGTTCGGATTTTACCGTAAAACTTTGTTCATATCAAGCCATTAACCAGAGTAGGTCATTCGCCATTGGCGAAAGTTCAGGACCCATTTGATGCAAGTTCAGTAGGTTTTTGCCAACTGTAATAACACAAGATTAGTGTACGATGCATATGACAAATTAGCCTCATATTATCAGAATAAGCATATTATAGGCTAAACACCTCAATATAATTACCAGGAGCTGTGTTTATATGCATGGATACTTCAAAAATTCTGAAACTTTGATTTTATGAGAAGAATTCTAGTAAGAAGTCGATATCCTCTTAGACTCTTTCTAGTTTATCTACTCCCTACTTACGAATAAAATTTCGGCGCAAAAGCTTTTCGACCCATCAGATGGCTTTCTCGTTAGACTGAATAAGCACAGAAAAAATAAATAAATGTGATGCATCTATTATCAGATATTGTCTTTTATTCAGTGAAAATATTTCAGAAGACATGTAAACACTTCTCGTCGGAGTTTAATTACTGACTAGATTTTATATAATTACTAATAAATCATTCTATATCTGGGAAGAATGTATAAAACTTTGAGAATGTTTCTCATCAATCAAGATAATACTAACCTTTTGAAATAAAATAAGTACATAAATTAAATTTATGTAAAGCATAATATGTTTTTAACATTTGATTAACAATAATAAAAACGCCAACTTTTCTTATTTTACTTGTTGGCGAAAAGCTTTGTAAAACTTTCATAGCTTTTTGTGATAATTGAGTATTACATGTTTGTATTGTACTATTTGAATTCATAGTATCCGATGTTTCATTATCATCATTATTTAAATCATCAGTACCAAGTAAAGCAAGTAAACGTAATTCATGTGCATGACGATTAAATACTGGTAATAACCATGCTGGTTCATCATCATTTATTGTTGGATTTATTTGATCTATTTCATGATCTTCATCAGGTAATGTTGTAGGCATTCGACTTGAATATTCATTTAATATCGCCATAAGACATGAGAATTTTTTTGATTGATGACGAAAAGCTCGATCAATATCATTAAAATGTAAATAACGACAAACAGCCCAATGATGTCGACTTAATTGTTTCCAAAGTAAATCATTATCATTTGGTAATTGTTGATCAAGATTTGGTTCATTATTATCATTAAAATCCAAATCATCAATTTTATACATACGTGTTACATTGAGTAATTCATCAAGTAAATAACTATCATGTTGTTTAACTGTATCAAGAATCGAATCAATAAAATCTGATTGATTTCGACAATAGATAAAATCATCAGCCATATTCGTTTTCTTTATTATTATCTAGAATGATGATGAAAATTTAATTTTTGTATTGTTCCTATCTGAATGTTCATCAAGTGAACGTCTTAATAAAGAACATAAATGATCACAATTGGTACCATATTTACCAGCTATTTCAACAATATGTTCAAAATGAAAAAAATTCTTTGGACACCATTTTTCTTCATAATCATTTTTTAGAATTTCTTTATAATTATTTAATGAATAATAGAATTCATTTAATTTTGTTTTATCTTCTAATTGATCAATTTTATTGATTGCAAGTATAGCAGGTTTATGAAGTAATGATGGTTCGTATAATTCAAGTTCTTTAGTTAAAAATACAATTGAATCAAATGCAGATCGTAATGGTGAACGAATTTCTAATTGAAATCCATTAATATCAATTACAAATAGAAGAATTTTTGAACGTAATGTATGTTTAAGAAAACGAGAACCAAGTCCCATTTTAATATGTGATCCTTCGATAAGACCAGGTAAATCAGCTATACTAAATGAACAACCATCATCAAATACAACAGTACCTATTTGAGGATGAAGGGTAGTGAATGGAACTGGTGAAATAGCTGGTTGTGTACGAGAAAGCATTGAAAGAAGTGTGGATTTACCAGCATTTGGATAACCAACGAAACTAAAATAGAAATCAATAGATTAGTTTAAACTTCTATTTCGAGAGTGGGTGTATAGGTATGGCCTACCTTTCTCCGAACTTTTGTTTTCCGAATTACTTGATATATTCGATCTTATCATCAAGAGAGTTAGTCACATAGCTTCCGAATAAAATATGTATAAGCGTTAGGGAATATAATTAGCCTCTGAATAAATACTCCCTCTTGATAATTTCCTTCTGTATACTGAAAAGATTAGCGTCCTTGATGACTATGAAATTTCCTCTTCTCTCTATTCAAATTTATAATAAGATAATCATATCAAACACGGTTCATAGCATCAAATTGTAGATACTGATTAAATATACAGCAAGAATTTTATTACCTCCTCCTTCTTTCTTTCTTATCTTTTCTATACACTTGAAATGTAAAACGGCATAGAATTTTTATTAAAATTCCAAAATTGTATAAGAAACCATTTATATATCTGACTCAAATAACTAATAATAATATTTTTTACTAACCCAACGTCTGCTAATAATTTTAAATCAAAATTCACCATAGCTGTTTCACCTGGTTGTCCCTGAAAAAATGTTTTATAATTTCCACCTTCACCACCATGTGCTACAATACATTCATCATCAATATCATTGATTTCATCAATTAATTCTCCATTATCACGTAAAATTTGTATACCTAATGGTACATGAATTGTTAAATTTTCGCCGGACATTGCATTTAAACGCATTTTTTGACTATTGTTACCATCCGGTGCAAGATAACGTTTAGTTAAATTTTTTTCATAAACATTTTTCAATGTTAAATGACGTTTACCACGTACAAGAACATTTCCACCTTGTCCTCCAATTCCACCATATTTTTTTAAACCAGTTCCACCTCGACCGCCACGGACATAAACACGAAGTTTATCTATAAATGGTAAATTTAAATGGCGACCCAGATCTTGTTCAGTTATTTTATATAAACAACGTGTTAAAAACATTTTTATCTACAAAACTAAATGATGAATCATTAAAAATAGAAAGAAAATAATTATTGATTCGATTAACGAAAGAATATTTTTCTCTCTTACTTGAATATAAATTATTATTTAACGTTAATAAATTTTTTTCGTATTACATCTGTAATATGAAAATCCATTTGTATTTGAAGAAATAGATAAGGTACTTTAGAATATATAAATGTGATTCATAATTTTATTGAATTTATATAAGATATGTCCTAGAGGACAAAATACTTGAAGATTTTACACCATTAAAATCATTTATATAATATATTAGGCAGTATGTCGAAAGAAGTATCCATGTTTTAAATAAAAAATTATGAATAATAGTAATAAGTAAGAAAGATTAAAATTTTGTCGAGAAAATGAAGATAGGAGAATAAAGAAACCCAATAAAAAAATGAGTGTAGGTGTTGATTGTTCACTAGTGACATCATTTAAACTATTATGAAATTAGAAAATTTTTCGTAAAAAATCAAATTAGCTATATTTTCATTTTTACTAGAAATGAAAACATTACTTTTCTTATGTATAGATTGTCTCTTATCATGTGTTGTATTTCTTAATTCAGTCAATATAATCCTTGCTAGTCACGCCTTCATAAATTCTTCTTAAGCATCGTAATACTAGAAGCGTGCCGAAAGCAAGAATGGGCGTTACATTAATAAATTCCAAAAGCAGAGGAGTGTCACGTCCCATCGCGGATACGCCTCTGCTACCTGTTTTTTATGTTACTGGTTGTGTATAATTCATTGCCATGTTATTATGTTAGTAGAGATTTAAGAGTGTTTAAAACAAATTATAAGACTTGAACTAGATAGGAATTGTTTCGTATGATTTGTACTTTTTCTTTATAATTTTAGCTATCCGTACGTTAAAAAAACATACTAAATGTTCATGCAATTGTAAAGTAGATTATTCTATCTTCTAGATTTATTTAAAAAAATCAAAAAAATATAATCTTAATTTTGACTCAACCATACATGTAAAGCATATTGACATTCCCATATTGATGAAACTTCTTTTAAAACAGATAAATAATCAATACAATCTTGATGATGAAACATGAAATTTTGTGGATATTCAAATGTAACACTTTTTAAATATTTAACATTATCAATAATATATTTCATATCATCACTATTTTTTACTCGAATATGTAAATGTTTTATATTTGAAGTTAATATTAAACATACTGTTTCCATATTTGTTGTACAATTATTTGGAGCTAAATAATCAAATAAAGCTAATGTATGAATATTAACTGCATATTTAAGTAATTTATTTGTACCGGAAATAATACTTGGCATATATTCATGAGAAAAATGAACAGATAATGAAAGTTTAACAAGATTTAGAAGATTAATTGTTGTTGAAAGAAATGTTAACGAATCTTTTGGCCATTCACCATTAATTCCAATAATTAATTCATTAGTATTTTGAAATAATAAAGAATTTTCATTATTATTTATAATTTGACTTAAATCTAAATCTAATTGTTTAATATTATTCATTATTATTGAATTCTTATCTTTCAGTAGAAAATTTGAAGCCGAAACTTTATTTAAATTTGAATAATATTCAAAATGATTATGACATATGGGTATTGAATAAAGTATAAGTTTATGTAAATAAATAATATAATCACATATAACAAAACATTGTTTATCATTAAGCCAAAACGGTGTTTGAAAAAATGAAGTTATTTGTTCAATATTATTTGTATCAAAATGAACATCAGTTAAAACTGAAATAAAAAATTCAAATTTATTTAATAATGGTAATTTATCTAGAAAAATTTGTTCCCATCGATAACCATCAAATGTTGAATTAAATAAACTTCCATGACCAATTAATTTCAGATGAATAAGTTCTGGTATTAATGAAAGACATTGTTCAATTTTAGACATTTCGATACGACCATTGATACATGTTAAAGATTTTAATTGAAGAAATTTTAGATCTGTTGGAACATATTCACTATTATCATCAATATTAAAATCTTTTAAAATCATTGTTTGTAAACAAGGACAATGTTGAAGAATAATATAGAATTGTTTGATTGTTATACTATTTCGAATTCGAAGATAATTTATAGTAGAATTAATAGACCATTGAAATTCAGTCATATCTTTTGGCCACATATTTAAATCAAGTTGTTGAAATGAATGATCATTTATAGTTGATGATAGAAGATTTAATGAAGTATTTTTACGAATATTTAATGTTTGTAAATCAATTGAGAAAGAAATTAATGATGATAAATGAATAATAGAATTTAAAAATAGTTTTAAATCATTATCTTCAATTTGAATGAGTTTTAATGAACGTAATCGATTAAACTGAGTAAGATTAAATAATGAAAGAAATAATGGTATTTGACCATGAGTTTTATCTTTATTCGATAATGTTAATGAAATAACTTGTTCAAATGGAATCATTCGACAGATAATATTAAAATTTGATTTTGATATTGATTCAAAATTAAAATCATAATTATTATAAGAATTTACAATCGAATAGAATCGTTTACAAACAGAACGAAATGAAAAGAAAATTGTTTCAATATCAAGATAATCAATAATATGATAAAGAATTTCAATAGGTAATGTATTAAGATATACAGTAGACATATCAGTATGAAATAAAAAACAATAGTAAAATAAATATTTTAGATCGAAACGAATTTATTTCTTATTTCAATTTTTATAATAATCTATGAGTAATACTATTATTTTTATTGCTTTTCATATGTTATGAATTCAACCAATCATATAATTATTAAAGGAACTACTGCTTCGCGCATCGCTAATTTTAATAATCGAGTTATTATCATATTAAAAGTACGAACTGAGGTCGAACTCATGAAATTCAAATTATAATAAAGGTGACGTCGTCTATCACTCATTAGCATTACATATTACTTAACGAAAATTGTGCATGTCGCACCCACGTATATAAATGCAACCTGTAGATTGTCATTTTAAAAGGAATACAAAACAAATCAAGCATTTCAAAAACTTGGTAAAAATAGCAATAGTCAATTATGTTTTTCTAATGACGTTCGATGACAGATAAAACTCCGTTAAAAGCATAAGCAATCAGTTAGTTTCACTCATGACGTTAATGATAATGACGTATGTATTTATTTCAAATCCTCCAGTCACGTAAAAAACGTTTATCATTCTATACTCTTCTCGTATACCTGATCGAGCGTCATCGAGTGTTTTGCGTCCTATAGAATATTGTATCGCTATTTGTTCGCAGATACTTGTTGTGTCTATGAAAGTATAAGTATACTAACTTGATAATTTGAGTGATTTACTTTTTTTTGAATTATATAATCGATATTCCAGTAAGTTGAGAAAAAAAGGAAGTTGTTTTTTCAGTAATAGCCGTTTGATATGAATAATTCGAAGCCTCCATTCGCCTTTAAATTATTATTCATGATGATAGTCACCATAAAAAAACTTGACTCTCTTAATATTGAGTATCAATATTATTTATCGAATAGATTCAGTTTTTATTATTCATCACGATTCGATAGAAATATAGAAAAAATGTATACAATTGTCGGACGATATATATTAAGTAATAAAATTCTTTAAGAACGTAATAAATATTTTTGAGTTTTACTTGAATATATGTATACTAATAATTTGTTATTAAATCGAATTTATTTTATTTTAGATAAAATACAGAATAATGTCCACGTATAGTTGTTGGAAATGTTCTGAAAATGGTGATAGTGAACCATCATCTCCATCACATGCCATTGATCAAATGATATCATTATCAATGTTTGATTATGCTGATATGAAAAAAGCACTAGCAAATAATGAACCAAGTACTAAATTTCAGAAGTTTGTATTTTAATAAATCAAACATATAATTTCTATAATTCCTATTGAATTCTTCAGATCATCATATAGCGTATCATCATATAGCCTATTACAATTAAAACGAACACGTCGAATAGCTTTTCGAAAGTATGTTATATTTTATTCATATTTAGTTTAGTTATTATCGTAAAGGAAAGTGGCGCTTGAAATATAAAACTTAGTTAGAAGAAAAAGCACCATCTTTCATTTTAACAAAGTAATTTCAAATGACTACAATGATGAAAGGTATACTAATACAGGTGAACATTAAAATCTTTTAAAGTCGTATAAATCCCATCAGATATCTAAACTATTAGAGACATGCAAAAATTACGAATTTTAGTTCTCCAAAAAAAGAATAATGAAGTGAATTGAAATGATTTACAAAAATATTTATTTTAGTCGTTTTTCAACAATCGATTCATTACGACGATTAGCATGGAATAATACCAGTCCAAAACTACTTGAACAAGCTGAAAAACAAGTATTTTCAATATTAAAATCTCGATTTAATGGTCGTTATGTACCTGTAGCGAATGATAAGGAAAGAATCTGGACAGTTTATTCAAATTTATCTTTAAACAATACTCCCATTGTTCTTCTTCATGGTTTTGGTGGAGGTGTTGGTTTATGGAGTTTAAATTTCGATCAATTATGTGCAGATCGACCTGTTTATGCTATTGATTTACCAGGTTTTGGACGTAGTAGCCGACCAATATTTAGTCTTGATCCACATGAAGTTGAAGATCAAATTATTAATATGATCGAAGATTGGAGAAAAGGAATGGGATTAAATGAAGAATTTATTCTTCTTGGTCATAGTTTTGGCGGATATATAAGTGCTTCTTATGCATTAAAATATCCAAAATATATAAAACAACTTGTATTAATTGATCCATGGGGTTTTGCACGTCGACCTGAAAATATTTGGCAAACAGGTCGTTTCCAACGTGTACCAACATGGATGAGATCATTTTCATCGGTTATGATGAAACTTTCACCACTTACTGGACTTCGTGTGGCTGGACCACTTGGTAATCCCATCATTTATAATAAAAAAAATAAACGAAGAGTTTTTCTTTGTTTTTTTTATAAGGTGTGCCAGTTATAAAATATTTCCGGCCAGATCTTCGGACGAAATTTGAAAAATTATTTGATGATGATCGTATATTAGTATATTTATATCATTGTAATGCACAAATACCTACTGGTGAACAAGCATTTCGAACTATCTGTGATTGTTTTGCATGGGCAAAAGGTTCGCAATTGACTTCTTCTTTTTTTCTGTTATTTAAATATTTTATTTTATTAGAACCAATGGTTGATCGTATTCATTTATTAGATGAACGAACTCCAATATATTTTCTGCATGGCGATCAATCATGGATAACAAGTGAATCATCTTTTATTATTCAAGAAAAACGTCAAAATGTTTTTGTTGAAAACATTAAAGGAGCTGGACATCATGTATATATTAAACCATATATAATCCTGATAATTTAAAATCCATTTTTTATTTTTAGATTTATGCTGATGCAGCAGTAGAATTTGAAATGTATCTAAAAAGAATTCTACTCAATAAAGACTAACCTTCTCTTGTATTTGGCAATCTTCTGTGAAAATTACCACTTATTTTTATACATATATATATATTCAAAATAAACATTTTTTTCTCGGTGTTATTAATAAATTAAATATACTAATCTTTTGAAATGTATTATATTTAGTTTAAAAGAATAAATAGACTTGAAACGAATGAAATTTATAGTAAGGTGTTAAAAGGATTCCAGTTCAGTTCATTATCTTGATTCATCATATTGAGAAATAATCAGAAAATCATGTTTTCTGCGACCTAGATGATTAAGCATAATGTCAACAATGTATATAGTTGCATTATATCAGCTGTGTTAATGATTAATGCAGAGGAGGAACATTCGATCCTATTTAAATTACCTTTAAATTATGATTTCCTTCCGATAGACATGATTTGATGTTTGCAAAACAAAGAAAATTATTAACAGTCTTGTAAAGTATATGTTTTATTCTGTATAACAAGTCATTTTTATCAATTGAAATAAACTGTTGATATATACTGTCCTTGTTTTATAATAATAATATTTAATAACCTTGACTAAATGCTTACTATAGATTTCTACTTATCACACCATGTCAACTTATTTATTTAATTTCTACTCATTCATTAAAAATAAATATCACAAATATGCAGTATTTACTAGATGTCAATAGGCTTTTAGTTTCATCGAGAAAACGGAAACGTAGGTGAGGAAAGGAATAAATACTAATTTGTTATTGTAGTATATAAAAAAAATCAGAGACATAATATTTATCTTGTTATTCATGAAAAATACATCACGTAAATGCTCATAGAGAGAGAGAAACTTTTTAATCTTGTTGAGTATATAAAGTAATGCTAAATATTTTCTTTGACCCAATAATTTTTCCACATTTCAGATATAATCCAAGAATTCTTTATCACTCCTGTAAGTAAGCATGTACCGACAAACTAATAGATTATTTTATCATCTGAGTCATACACATTTATATTAATAGACACAAAAACTAGATCAGTTTTTATTTCAAATAATTACAATTAGTTCTTATACTAACACGACTAATGAAAAATATATCGCTATTCTAATTTTAATTTAACATAAGAAGAAAATTCGTTTTTTTAATCATCAATAGGGTTTATATAAATATATTATTTCGAGTGTTCTGATTTCAATCTCGTTTTGTTTATGCTGTTCAAGGTCAAAAACATGATTTTTTTTCTACGTCTGCTTTAATATATGATTAAGACACCCACGAAAACAGTGATTTTTGAGAAAAAAAAGTTTCACTGCTTGTGATTTTTTGTTTGTTGACAACACTTATGAGTCTTCCATTATTCGTCAAGCAGCTATCAACGAAATTGTACATAAGCCACTTTTTTCTTTCATTTTAGCGTTAGAAAAAAAATGTCTAAATTCAATCTTATATCATTTGTTATTTGCGTGTATTTCATTGTTCTCCAGTTAACTATCATCGAATGTCGACCACGTACACAAAAAATAGTTGTACATGGTCATGAATGGACAGTACCAAATGAACCAGGCTGGAAAGAAAGTAATAATTCTTTACCATTATATTTTTAACATTTCTTTCATACTTTTTTTTTCTGTTTTCAGTTTTAGACGAAGCTGAACCTATTCGTCGTAAATACTTAACAGATTGTGCATCAAGTCGTGAATGTCGTTTGGCTGCAGAACGATTGCGAGATATATTTTTAAAATATCCTGTTTCAGCAAAATATTATGATGACTTTCTAGATAGTGACTATCGTTCAAGTGACATTGATTCGATTTTCAAATGGGGTTGATTTGTATACATGCTTGTATATTTTGTTAATGAACATCAAATGATAAAGAAAAGAAAAGTTCATATTATAATTTTCCTAGGCAATTTTCATTATGATAATATATCATATTTATTTAGATAAAATAAGAATGATATTTTTTCTTATGAAACAATAGATGTAACTCTTATTTAAGTAATTTTCAATAATGCAAATGAAAATAAATAAATTATTTTTTATTTCTGTTACAAGCTGAAACATGTTTTTATTGTCGAGTAGCTATGAATTCAATTTAATATAAAGCACGTTAGAGTTCAGTACATCCTATTTAATTCTCAGATCTATAATTTCACATTTTTTTCTCTAAATTGAAAATGAGTATGATGTCAACGTGAAACGATCATATGTGCGGTTATATTATTTATGTATCTAAAATCAAAGGTAACCTGAGTAGAAATAATAATCCTTACGTGCTCGTTCGATATTTTACTAAGAGCGACTTATATCTTTTGCAAATGAATGTCACTCAATTCTGATTATATTCAAGATAATATCGTTTTTAATTTTATCACGTGAAGAAGATTCCATATTTTCCCTCATACAGTTAGATATTTCTATTGCAAATAATCTACTTTCAATGATGTTTTGTTTATCTCATTGACACATTCATTTGAGATATAAAGATTTTTTACATTATTGAGACTATCTTACACTTTTATATTGTTAAGAAGTGGAAAGTGGCTATGTGCATTCAAAAGGGTATAATGAATCAATTACTAAATATTAAGTTATATCATAATTCTACATACTTTGGTTATTAACATACATAAAATATTCCAACTTAATGGTAGTTTATCAATTCTTTATTATACTCAAAAAAAAGTATAAACTATGTATTACAGTTGTGCATATACGAAAAAAAAACTTAATCGAAATAAAAATCAATCAGGTTACAAACATTTCTACCACTTCTTCTCTTGACCTTCGCAGAAAATAATTGAATTTTTGTTTCATTGCATTTACTAGAAATTGCACTACTAGTTAGTATATGAATTGCAAAACATATAAGACTAATCAACACTCAGTTCAAGATAATACTCTGTATTAAAGTACGATAATTAATCTATACTTCAATCTTTAGTTGCTTATTCACACTTACAAATCAAATGAATTCATTCATAGTACACGTGCATACTAGTCGGATTGTTTTTGCTCTTCATTTAACACTAAATAATAAATACGTAGTTCATCAGAAAAAAGAACAAGATAAGGATTCTGTTTTTCAGCAAGCAGTTCTATATAAATTTGATTTTTGCTAAAAACATACTATGTCCTTAAGATAATATTATTCAATAACAATTTTGATAACGAACAGGTAGTTTCTATAACGAAATAACAATTCATAATTGATGGTTTTCAGGAATTTTTTTTTATTGAAATTACATTAAATATTCTTTCATCAATAAAATGATCCACGTTTAAATTTAAAGAAAAAAAAAATCATTTTTCATTATTTTAATAATTAAAATATTTCGAAAATAATATAAGAATTCGTTAACTATTTGATTTTTATAATAGTTAAGTTGAAACTAGAAAATATTTATATGGTGTGTCATCTGTTATTTTTTAATTTCTGCCTACGTGTTTTTTAACAAAATAAAGAAAAAAACGATGATTTTCATTTTTATTGAAAAATGAAAGTGTCAGATGAAAAACAATCGAACAGTACTTTTGTTTTTCAATATTGTTCTAGACAGAAAAAAGGAAGCGAAAATAGTAAAAGCAATAACAATAACATTCATTTAAATTTTTAAACACCATTTTCGTAAAGTTCTCAATTTATATGTATAGTAAATAAACTAAATTTTATGATTAATATTAACATAAGCAGATTTTTAATATAAAACTGCATGATTATTGTATGTTTTCGTGAATATTCATTCGTTTAACTAGGATTTTATTTGACATGAACAAAAGGAACTATGTATATAAAATCTTGAAGTGTAAATTATGATTTTGGGTACAAAAAATAATATGCATGATTTGATCGATATTTTCTTTTTTCAAAAAAAGAGGTCTTCATATAAATAAATATAAATAGTGAAGAGATCGAAATTGCATTATTTTTTAATTGTCTATACTTTTGAATTTAGGTTACATTTCTCTATTAAGATTTACTATATATATATGGTTACAAAACGTATGAATAAACATTTTATATATTCATTCCTGTAGTAAGAGTATTTTTTTAAGGGTATAGATTTATCTGTTCAGTATTTATTTGTTAGTTTATATTAGTAAAAGTTGTATAGTTTTAGTTAATATAAGTTTATTAGACTAGTAATATTTGTTTGCGTGTGTAAACTAGAAAACAAATTCTTTTCTTAGAAAATATAAAGTACGAAATAACTTGAGTACCACACTCGCCAGTAGGACGCTTTAAAAGCACGTATTTGTTTGTTTACACATACAAATCAATTTTTGAAACAAGAGAGATGATTTCAAAGAATAGAATCATTCTTCAATTAAAGGTATGTGATCAAATTTTTCTATATGTAATTTTTATAAATTCAATAGTAACGAAAATGTATATATTATTACAAAAATAACTCTTTGTAATTTAAATTTCCTTGAAAATTTGTCATTTCAATGAAGAAGTAGTCATAAACATCAAGGCATTTAGATTACGATCAAAAATTAGAAAATCTTTAAGCAAATAAAATGTTAGAATGAATTTTTTTTGTCGTTTGTACGTCTTTTTTCTTATCAATAATGAATGTATTAAAATATTTCGAATTTACTAGTAAAACCTACAATTCATTATCTTCTTAAATTCTATAAAAATCATATTTAAGGGTAAGATAATAATGTTACAGCTTCATATTAACAGAAGTGATTCTTTTGTATATCACAAATATTATAAATTTCGAAAGATTTTTCGTACCAATTTTTATTTTTTTTTTGCAAAATATCAAAAATTTCCAACTGCTCCCGTCAAAATATAAACTATATATATTCTTCTACTATAAAACCTCACAATTTTCATACATGACGTCGGCTTCAAAAATCATGAAAACAACAAAACAATTCCAACATCGACATTGATTCATACAATTTTTTTTTATAAATTTTGTGTCATAGAATCGATCTTTTTTTTATTGTCGTTCTGTATTTCAAAAGAACAAAAAAGAAAAACTGAGAATAAGACTGATGCATATTATATTTACATAACAAGAAATCATACATTACGTACAGACTGTTTTTGTGCAAACATGTTACTACCTTGTTTTCGAGTTAAAAGAAAAGTCTATGAATTTAGGAAGTTTTTACTTTCTATCGATATATATATATATATATATACGTGTCTCAGTTACAAAAAGATTCTTATTTGCGTAATGTTAGTGATGAAAAGACGCGTCTAATATATGTATATTTTTATTAATATGTTTGATTTCTCTGTACAATTCATAAAGAAATATATTTTTAGATATAGAGAATATCAATATGAAGAATAGTATTAAACTATGGTTTATTTATTTACTAAACTTCACTCTTATTATATCAGTCTTCGGTGACACAACATTCATCCCTAATATTTCTACAGGTAAATAAATACTTTTTCTTTGCATCTTCTCAAATAGTAATGCTATTGAATAGGATTACTCAGTGATTCAGTAAAAGTGATCTTAAATTCAGTTAAATCGACGAGAAATATACTTTAATCATTTCTTAGAATATTATCATGATGATTTCATAATAATCGAATTAAATATAGGGCTTATTAGCAAGAATAGATCAGTTGAATCTGAAGCTGTTAAAGTCAAAATTGAAATGAAATTAAACAGAGTTTGATTCTAATGTGACAGCATGATCTAATAAACTCTGATGTTCGTTTACAAAAGGTGGAAATAAAACGTCTATGTTAGTGAAAGTTAGAAAGCCATTGCTGATCGTTTTTGACTACTTACAATTGACAGTTGAGATCTATATCATTCATAGTATTTCATAAGTTCTAAAGCTTTTCTCAAGTTAACAAAATTCAAAAAGATATATATATATATCGTATTTTATTCTAGTTACTTCATTCGACACAACTGCTCAAATATCAATCAATTCAAATTCGACATACATTATAACTAGTTGGAATAGTACAGGTATTTACCTATTATAATCATTAGAATAATATATAGATTCATTTAATACATATTGTTTATCTTCATATCAGTAGAAATAACAATCAAATATCTTTTCCTAATTTATTATATCTTACTTATTATTGATAATACAACAATCATCATCCTTGCTTTATTCGAAATAAAACGGAGTAATACTATCGAGATAGAGCAAACGTGCTATCCCTCACAATTCGAAACATCTAATTTTGTCAAATACTATATAAAATATCTTAAAATGTAATAGAAATAGTAATAAGAAATTATTTATCAGTGAGATATCATTAAGAAGCTTGAGCTATATATATCATATTAAAGATAAGTATCAAGATTAAATAACAGTTTAGTTTTCTATATATATATATATATCTTATTAAATTGTAGACAATTCATCATACACAACTGTTCAAACACCAATCAATTCAAATTTGACATACATTATAACTAGCTGGGATACTTCAGGTATTTATCTATTATATTCGTCAGAATGCTATATAGATTCATTTACTACATATTGTTTATCTCCATATCGGTAGAGATAACAATAAATTATCTTTCCTTAATTTATTAAATCTTACTTATCATTGATAGTATGACTGTTATCATCCTTGCATATGTGCTTAGGTATCTCACACTTTATGTTCAACAAAACTGAGTAATATTATCGAGATAAAACAAACGTGCTATCTCCCACAACTCGAAATCTCTCGTTTTGTTAGATACTGTATAAAAAAATTTCAAATATGATAGGAATAGTAACAAGAATTTATTTATCAATGAGATATCGTCAAAAAGCTTGAGCTATACATGTTATATTAAAAATGATTAGTTTTCTCTCTCTCTATATATATATATCTTATTATATTCTAGTTACTACATCATACACAACTTTTCAAACACCAACCAATTCAAATTTGACATACATTATAAGTAGCTTTGGTTATTCAGGTACTCATTTCCTATGATCGTTAGAATGCTATAGTTTTCTTTTCTTTTTCAAAGGTGATACTACATATCAAATGATTACAGGTACTTCTATGACAAGTCAAGCGCCAACTACCATGAATCCAACTGGTTATTGTATGAATGGAACTCATATAATATTAAATAATGGTACGTGTGTCTCAAGAGCAGATGAACAAGTAAGATAAATTATTCATATATTCATCTTTCATTGTCTATTTCTCTCTACAGGCGTATCTTGTCTCGGTAATACTTGGTAATTCTTCTAATAGTACTGCAAAATCTGATGCTCTTCAGTCATATTTAAATGTAATTAATAATTCAACTGTATCATCAAATTCTAGTAATACTTTATCAATTGGACAAATTAATCAGGTAGTTGGTAGTTTAACATCTGATAATTATTCAAACGCTAACGGAGATTCATTTATCCTTCTGACACAGCCTGGTACAAATCTTACTAATAAAACGATAATAGGTGTTTCCTACGCACCCATTCGTAATGATACAATTGTGAATACAGCAAATAAAGATAATGTAACTGATCGAATCCAACAAGTAATAGGTATTATGGAACTAGAATCGTTGAGTGGTGCTACGTCTTTCAATATGTTGCTGATCAATAATCCTTCTTCATTTCAAAATCAAGATAATTCGAGCAGCGGAATAAAAGTAGTATCATCGATTGTTATTTCCACGGTGAACACAGCAAATTATGTAAATAATCTAAATATTGGATTATATTTTCAAGTTTTACAGTTTTATGGTGCTGGAACACACATGTGTGCATTTTATAACACAACAACCTCTCAATGGGATAATGCCGGTTGTTCACCAGCAGTTTATAATCCAATGTTTAACCGATATGAATGTAATTGTAATCATTTAACATCTTTTGCTCTTATTTGGTTACCACCACCATCGAATAGTATAGACAGTCAATGGGATATTCAAGATACGATATCGATTGTAGTTGAAGTTCTTTCAATTGCATGCTTCATAGGTGTTCTAATTCATATGAATTTAAATTGTAATAAAGATTCAATGGATTATACTCAAAAAAGAAGTGTATTACCATTGATTTCAGTTGGAATAACAATGATTCTTTTTATTTTTTATATTGCACTTGGATTAACAGTTTATTTCGGACGTCGATCATCAAATACTTCTAATACGCAACAAAACAATCCAGACGGACGTTCCTTAGATGTTTTGTCTCCTCGAATAATTTCTCCAACTGGAATATCTAATAATACTTTTACTCCATGTGAATCAGTCGAACTTGGATTAATGCATATTGTTTATTTCTTAATTATTTTTATGTTTGGCGTTAAAACAAGTGTTGCTTATTTTAATTATAAACATTTTGTTCAATTATTTCCTCCACCGAACCGTCGATATCTTTTTATTGCCCTTGGCATATCAGCTCTTATTGGCATAATTTTTATGAGTTGTGCTGCTGGTATTAATAATAATTCATCACATAAAATTATTCAAATATATCTCAACAAGATTTGTTGGTTTACACATGATGTTATCCACTACTTTTTAACTATACCGATATGTATATTTCTCGCATTAAATATCATTTCAATCTTTTTAGTTGCAAGACACGAAATGAAATCTTCTAGTGACGAGAAGTCCAAAATAAGACATCGGCGAAGAAAATATTGTGTAATTTTTCTATTAATATCTTGTCTTACTCAAGGTTTAAGTTGGGCCTTTGGCTTCTTAATTACAAATCTCGATGCAGAACGTGCTGATATAGCTGGTTGGTTTTTTGTTATTTTCAATGGATTGGAAGGTGTCTGGGCTATACTTTTATATTGTATTATTCGAAAAGAGAAAATAGATGAAGACGAAGGAAGAGAGGAAAGACGTAAAGACAACGACAGACCGGCTGAGTATGTGGCATTACACGATTTGAGTACTCATAGACCAGACAGTTCAATTGATAATCAAAACGATGAGACGATATCCAGACAATTGACAGCTTTGAGAAGTGATCCACTACGTAATTCATATGCTGATTTAGATGAAATACATATCCAACATCGCCCTCGTCATGGTGATAAGGATAATTTAGATGAATTGAACATGCATCATCGCCCTCGTCGTGGTAATAGTGATGATCAGTAAATATGAACTGGTTCATTATTATTATTGGTGTCCAACAGAACCTGATTTAGAGTGTCGTCTCGTTTTATTTTGAATAACCAATTTTGTATTGGATTATAAAATTAATGTATTTTTATTTTTCATTTCTTTAAATAAAATTGATTTTTTTAAAAAGTAGATCTAGTTTCTAAATTATTTGAATCAATATTACAATAAATATTGACATATTATTCACTAAGAAAAAAAATGAAATTTATTAATTTTCTTGAAGAATTTTAATATGTTGTCATAGATTCTAATTTGCTGACTTTGTATATTGGATGTATCGAAGGTTTTTTATCAGCATTCTTTTTTGCAATGCACTGAGTAATCTGTTATATAATACAAATATTCCTTGAGATCATCTATTTATTTTACAAATTCGAGTCATATTATTTAATAAATTACGATTTGTTCGTAATAGACAATTATAAATATATGCCAATTTGATATTTTTACCTTCAAGTGCAATGTAGAATAATCAATGAAATATATAGTATATAATAAAAAAGAAAACAACTTTTACATCTTTTTTAATAAATAGATCTAATTTTCAAGCTATTATACTTGAAAAATTATTTGAAACTATTGATACGAACTTGAATCTAAACATGTAACAAGTAAGAATAGATGAATTTATTTCTAGTTATTTTTTAATGAGAAAAGAATCGGTTCTTTTTATGATTTAGTTCAAACTAAAACATACAAAGCATTTCTAATTTTTTTTTCTCTTTTCATATTGAAGAAAATAATTGAGTTTTTTTTGATTTTGTACATATCGAATGAGAATTATAGTTAGTCAACACTTCTCTAGTTAGCAGATATTTATTTTGAAATATCGCGGTTTACTTCCTTTTTACACTTGGATGATATAATTTTTTATTGATTTTACGTTTATCACTATGTGATAGTCTCAAGTGCTTTCTTAATTGTAATATAATGGAAGAAATATCATAAAATATTCATGTTTCTTCGTTTTTAATGATTTTACAAATTTTCTTCTTCATACGTTATATCATTTATCTTTTATTCATCAAGTTAAAGAAAACGAAGCATTATAAGTATTACAAAACAAAACATTTACTTTGTATATTGAAATATCACTTCCTATTCTATACCGATTTAGTCGTACTCTTACATGCATAGGTAAATACAAATTTGTAAAATCTTACATCCAATATAGAAATTAATAGCAATAAAACTTGAGTTAATACTTTTTTTTAGATTCGAATAAGAGAAAATATATTTTAATTTTCTGTACTATACTTCTTTTTTATCATATATGTATGAATTGTCAAGTGACATTGATTATAAACTCAGTTTTATAACAAATTGTATATATTTATTTTTTCTTTTATATCAAAAGTCAAGATAAAAGGAACAGGAATAATTCTTTCCATTGATAATAGATTTTTAGAAAGAGCAATCGTAATGATTATGAATAGAAAATCTTATGTTGTGTTTTTATTGATCTTCAATATTTTTATAATCACTATACAATCATATGATAATCTGAAATTTTCAAATGATGATAATGATACTGATATACATACTCAAACTCTACATAAAAAATCAATTGATAACACTGACAATCGACAAAGGGTAAGACGCGCTTCACCAGATGACACATCAACAATCGATTATAGTATAGAAACTATGACAAGTAGGAATATTTCATTTTTATTGAATATCTCGCTGAAGTATATCCTTTGTTCTTTAGCTGGATTACCATTAAGTACTTCAACTTCTCCAAACATAATCGAAACAACTACTCAAACCATTCCTAGTATGTGTCAGTGAGATTTGTACAATCACTTAATAGACTCTAATTTTTGAATAATATATCAGATTCTATTTATCTCCATACTTTTTAAAACTGTGGATATATTAGTTTAAGACATTTAGCTGATGTCAATTATAGAATAACTCACTCGATTAAAATTGATATTGATTTTTTTTGTCATCTATTTTTCTTTCTTTAAAAATTCTTCAAAGCAAAAAAGAAGCAATGAATTGATTGATTTAGAGAAAATCTTAACTTTGATAAATTCTGTTCTCTTGTTAAGTCATATGAAATCTAAATTGAATATCTACTGATTCTCATTACAAATATGTTCAATTATCAATTGTATATAGTCAATTTAAGAGTTATGCGACGACCAGTATTTCCAAAACATTAAGATGAAATCAATATTATCTTTCTACTATCACTTCTATCTTTCTATGTAGTAAATTATGATTGGTATGGAATAATAATGCCAAATTCTTCTGTATTAAATAATACTGTTACTTACCATTGGAACACAATAATAATGACAAATTCTTCTGTATTAAATTATACTGCTACTTTGTATGGGAATCTAACACTAACGAAAGTTTTTTCTATATTAGATAATACTGTTAGCTTATATTGGAATCTAATAATAATAATAAGCTCCTCTGAAATAAATAGTACTGCTACTTCATATGGGACTACAACAATAGTGACAAGCTCTTCTGCATTAAATGATGCTGCCAATTCATATCAGTATCTAAGAGTAATGACCAATTCTTCTGTATTAAATAATACTGCTACTTTATATTGGTATCTAGCAATAGGGGAAATTTCTTCTGAATTAAATTATATTCCTTATTTATATTGGGACCTAATGCTAAGGACAAATTCTTCTGAAATAAATAATACTACTACTACTTCATATTGGAATTCAACACTAACGACAAGTTCTACTGTAATAAATAATACTACTGCTTCTATTATTTTTACACCAACTACTACTGCTCCTCCTTATAATCCTGACATTTGTAATAGTGACTTACAAGTAGCATTACCCAATGGTTCTTGTGTATTCAAAGAATCGGGCTTAGTATGAAAACAAAAAGTCTTATTTATTTTATTTCTATATCTTTATAAAATAGGACCTCGCACTCAATATACTGAATACATCTGCTAATGCAACTGACAAAGCCAACGCTCTGATTTTATATTTTAGCTCAATTGAAAACACAAATACAACAAATATATTAGGAGTGGATCAAATCGATAGATACCTTAGTAGTCTTGATATTAATTTAGATATTACATCAAATTCATCATTCATCATGGCAAAATCACCACATCAACTAGCTGATAGAATCATTTTAGGTGCTTCATTTACACGTGGTATGGGTGGAAAAGTAATCGATACGCAAAATTTCAATCGACGTATAAGCTCAGAGTTATCAGCTGCAGCTACTGTTAGTAATGAATCTTTATCTGATGTTCAATCATTGAATATGATTATTATTGATAATCCTTCAGCATATGTAAATATTGATAACTCAACTGATAAGAAACTCGTTTCATCAATTATTATCGCCAATGTACAACGAAATAATATATCATCTAGTGCTATGAATATTTCATTATATTTTCGGAATGTATTGAAACCTGAACTTGATGTGAATGACAATTACATTTGTTCATTTTATGATATAAATACATTTAAATGGAACGATTCTGGTTGTTCAAAAGCTCAGTATAATAAAAATTTAAATCGATACGAATGTAGTTGTAATCATCTTACTTCATTTGCTCTTATCTGGTTACCAAAACAATCACTCACATCATATCTCAATTCTCAAGATATTGCATCACTTGTATTTCAGTCAATCTCAATCATCTGTTTCTTGCTAATTATTATTCATGCCATGTTTACAACAATCCGATTTCCATTAAATACTTTTCAAATATATAATCTACTTCCATTAATATCTAGTGCTACTACAACTATTCTTTTCATCTTTTATATTGCACTTTCGATGACAGTTTATACACAAACATCATCTTCTCATCAGATAAATTGTTTTACAAGTTCAACTGTACTGATGTTCTTCACTTATTTCTTTTTGATCTTTATGTTTTGTGTCAAAACAAGTGTTGGATATTTTAATTATCTTCGTTTTGTTCATTTATTTCCTCAACCATCACATCGAAAATTGTTTATAATGCTTTTCATTTCATTCTTTATTTCTCTAATATGGATGGCATTTGCAGTTGGATTTTATTCTGATTCATCATTAGATATTATAAAACTATATCCATATAAACTATGTTGGTTTACAAGTGATGTGATCTATTATTTTTTGAGTATACCTGCATGTTTATTTCTCTTGATTAATATAATACTATTTATTATTGTTGGCAGTCATATAATAAATCATGTTCGAAATGCAACATCCGTTCATCAGTCATACGAAAGAATGAAACGATGTGTCATAGTTTTACTTTCATCATGTATAACTCAAGGAATTGGTTGGTTGTTTGGTGTATTTATTTCATTTGTAAATGGTGAAAGTGGATATATATTGGGATGGTTTTTTGTAATATTTAATGGACTGGAAGGTCTCTGGTCGATTATTTTATATATGATAATACGATCACAACAGATGGATGAACAGAAACATGTTACAGCTGCTAAAAGACTTATGAAGTTCAGAAGATTTACAGCGCATAAATATAAAAACTCGTCTGCTATAATTGATGAAACTGACAATGATACTATAAATAAGAGAAACAGAACTTTATAGTAAATAGACATAAATACCTATATGATATTCGCTTTAATAATGGATGAAAATGAACAACTACATATAGTCTTGTTAACAATGTAAACAAGATATGATTATTTACTCAATTTTATTTCATCAATATTCTTTATATATATATTCATAATTTTGTATTTTGATAATATTCTTTTATATTTAACATTTAAACGAGAAGCAATGCTATTTTATTAGCTAAATAAATATATAGTTAGTTTAAAAAATGAACATATATTATAAGGACAAAATACCATGCACCTATGAAAAAAGATTTTATTGATCTATCAACTGAAAACACTCATGGTAGACAGTGACATTTTGAGATTCATTCTAAAAAGGGATTTTGTGGAACACGTCGAACAGGGAAAACTTGAGATAGGAATATCTCGAAATAAAAAATA